GTCTGTACAAATGGAGGAAGTGTTATTGACTTAGTGTTAGCCGAAGGCCCCATCATCTCAAAGTTGGGAAATCAGTGGATGGATAAAGATGTTGAATTATTTTCAGGTGCCCCAAGAAGAGGTCACTATCCGGTGCTTCAAGAAATCTGCAGAGGGATTCCAAAATCAGACACTGTCCCCAGAGTGTGTATGGACTGGAAAAATGCAGACTGGAAAAGATGGTCAAATGCAATCGAGACTAACTGTCAACATCTTCGTTCGGCCCCAGAGTTATTAAACCAAGGGGATCAGCTATGGCAACAGTTATTACATAAAATACAGGAGGCTAACCGAATGTTCATCCCTCAGAAGACAGTATCCATTCATTCAAAACCATATTGGTGTCCTGCACTTACAACTCTATCTAATGAAGCTCTAGAAGCGAAAGAAAGATTCAAGCAAAGGTCAACTCCCAGAAACAAGGCCACACTCACTGAAAGCATTGAATCATTCAAAAAAGCGCTGATTAAAGAAAAGAATGAATGGATTCGTGACAGAGTTGAAGCACTAAACACCAAAGACTGCACTCAATTCTGGAGAAAATATAAACGAGTTTTTGGGGCCAAAACTGACAACTTCATCTGCAACCTCAAAGACTGTGACTTGCTGGTCACATCTGAAAAAGATAAGGAAGAGCTGTTATTTAATACTTTCTTCACAGGAAAACACCTTCAAAACCAACCCAATGACCAAGAGCACGAAATGCATGTAAATAATGAGTTCAGTAAATTAAAGAATGTTAGCAGCAAATCTGCAAGTAGTTACAATGAAGATGATCCGCTGAACAACCATATTTCCATAGACGAGATAAAATCAGCTATAGAAAGGCAAGAAACAAATGACAAATCATGTGATGCAGACAATATTCACCCCACCATCCTCAAACACATGAAAACAAATTGTCTTCACGTCTTGCAGATCATATTTAACTGGTGTATGAGCACAGGAAAATGGCTGTGGAAATCTTCCGATGTAACATTCTTGAGGAAAGAAGGAAAATCCAGCTACATGTTACCTGGTGCTTATAGACCGATTTCCATATCATCCTACTTTGGAAAGATTTGTGAAAGAGTGCTAGATAAAAGATTGAGACTCTTCCTGGACATTGAGGGAACTCTTGATGAAGATCAGGAAGGTTTTATTGGAGGGAGATCAACAACGCGATATCTTTTCAGAATGCTGGCTAACCTTGAGGAAGTTAAACGACAGAAGCTGGCATGTATAGTGCTTTTCCTTGACTTCGAAAAGGCATTTGACAGTGTTCATCTTCCATCACTATGTGTCAAACTATCAACTCTCGGTATTCAAGGAAATATTCTTAACGTGCTGAGAAGTTTCCTGTTCAACCGGACGATATGTCTAAAAGTGAACAACTATAAAGGAGAAAATAGAAAATGTACAATATTTGGACTACCTCAGGGGGCTGTACTCTCACCTCTCCTCTTTATCCTTTACATAGCAGACATGACGCACAACACCCCGGAAGAGGTAAAAAGATATCTAAGCTGCTACAAATTTGCTGATGACGGTACACTTATGATTTCCTTTGAGAACATCTCCGGATGCCATGAAAAAATGCAGATGGTATGTGACCACCTCGGCAAGTGGTGCATCAAGAACAAGCTAGTAGTGAACTGTGATACAAATAAAACAGAGGCAATAATCTTGAAAACTGCAGCCTATAATGAAGAACAGAAACCTGCAGAATTATGTATTAATGGGAAAAGCATCAACTACGTTCAAAGTACGAAGGTCCTTGGGGTAATAGTAGATGAGGACCTCAATTTCAAGAAACATGCGTCTCAAAAACTTAAAGAATGCAAAAGAAAGTGGGGATTAATAACAAAATCAACTAACCGCAACTACGGTCTAAACGTTTACAGCCTTACTCTCCTCCTTAAGACAATGGTCCTCACTAAACTGTTCTACGCAGCACCTATTTGGCTTCACAAGTGTCTCAATCAATTTAAAAGCTTCTGGAATAAAATAATTCTAAAAATATCTGGATCAGTCCTGAACCCACAAAGGGAATTAACCGAACTTGCTCTCCACCTACCACCACTGGATGTGCAACTCGAAGCTCTCTCGGTTAAATTCATGTGCAAAATACTCACACAAGGTGACAATCTTTCAGCTACCCTCTACCAAGTTGATGAAAGCAGAATACCAAGCTTTCATGTCTTAACAATGTCACTGAAAAAGTACTTCCTTTGGAAAGAAAATAAGTCACACGGAACCAGAATGATAGACCTAACACAGCAACATTTCAAGGATCTGGCCTATTACACTCAGGCAGACATAACGAGCTACAAAAATAAGATCTGGATTGACAGCATCGAAACAAATCTGCAATGCAGAACTGTCAGTAACAACAAGGAGACCAAGATACTCGGTGTGATCGCAAAGATCAAAAACAGTGGGCTGCTCCTAGACAAAAACAACTTTTTATTCGGGCACAACACGAGTAAAAATCTGGACAGCCGAATAATGGACTACATTCACGGCAGCTCACCACTCTTTGCGAATATCCTAAAGATCATGGGTGGTGGCAGTGGTGAGGCCTGTCGTTTCTGTAACAGCTTCATTGATTCTCCCGTACACCAGCTCCTATTGTGTCTGGAGGTGCAAGACACCAGTTACCTGCAACTGAAAGAAGAGCTGGGTGGGGCAGACTCACATTCCTATCTAGAGGAAGTGTTAACAAAAAGCAGCACACAAAAAGCATTCATTAGGAGAGTCGAATTTCTTTGGGGACAAAATGATGCTCTCCAGGATTTATCCGACTAGAAAGATCATGAAATAAAGACTCTGCAAACATCTCAGAGAAATATTACCACCATAAAGAACAAAGAGGGAGTATCCTGGACCCCGAAATCCACCACTTTTCTGTACTTTCAGAGGTACCAATGTGGCAGGAAACCAGGGCTCATGCTGCCGCTGAGCTAAAGCAGTAGAGGGGATGGCGGCTTCTCTAGGATCTAACACGTCCTGAAGCAGACCAACACTATGTCCCAACGCACTGGTGTTGGGATGTCTGCCCCCGGTGCCTGTCCGGGTCAATAAAGCAGTCAAGCATCATGTATGTTATGTTGAGCATTCTCAACCAACAAATGTGGGAACTCCCACGAAAAGACCAAAACAGATCTAAAGAGACACTTAACAACATTGGAAAAATAGACTTCAATTTGTTTATATAATTTAAAAAGCGTATATTATTGCCCACGTTAAGGGGCCTGTTGATAATTTAATAAATTATTAGCTATTTTAGATTTAATAATAATAAATCTAAATCTTCAATATTGTCTGGTTTATATCGCAACTTGGGCCCTCTGTCCCCCCTTATTGAAATAACTGTTGTCTTTAATACCTCAAAGCGCTTTCTAAGATATGTAACTGAGTCTGAATATCGCTGACCCGTTGGAGATTCCATCTTTTGTACAAGCTTTTTAATCAAGCGTTGCGCTTCGACTCCCATGCCTCATGTTATCCTTCCTCTCGACCAACGAAATTTCTGCCTCCTTACATTATATTAGGATGCAGTGAAATTATCGGACTACGATGAATGGGGACTTGCCTCGCCATGGCAACATTAAAATTTATTTACTCCGTTATATTGCTTCCTGTTAATATAAAACTCTGTTACATAACAAACTGAACTGGGATCTGGCAATATAACACCTCAGCTCAGATCAATAAAATATGTTAAGTAATGTATAACTAGACTCATGTAAATATAAAGGAAGGAAAACAATTCTTTCCAAAATAAATTGCCGACCATGATTTAAATTATTGTTGACTGATTAACTAGAATGCAAAGTCAAATAACGACTCCTCATACACTTTAACATTAAAAAGACTCATTTCTCCGTGAAAAGAACAATAACGTGAGTAGCTTTTGTCAAGGTGCCTCGTAAGTCATAAGTGATTTTGAACGATTCCCCGTTTAATTTCGGTCGTAGATTGACGGATGTTACTCGTCTAAATTTCTTCGAAGTAGCGCGCGCCGCTTTCTTCTCGACGGCAAGTGCTACGAAGTAGCGCGCGCCGGGCCAGACCATTAACAATGGTCAAGTCGTAGAACGCCAACATAGTGCTGAATTAAGCAAGTTATAAATATAGACATATTTCATACGTATAAAATTGAATGTGCTTTTGGTGGAGATATAACCTGTGCCTTCATGAAATGGGGTAAGTTTTGAAAAATTTTATTTAATGCACGGTGCGGCTCATGCATTGTAGCGCGATGCTTGCTCTATCCAGAGCCCTTGCGCTTGCAGTGGCGCGCTTCTGCCTGATCCCTGCCTTGTGAAACAAACGCGCCCGCAGTGGCGTGAAAGGACATGGTTAGGTGAAGCGCGATTCGTTACTGGGCCGCACCGCGCATCTTACCTGGGGACCTCAGGCTATTATGTTCATAAACATATAGAGATTAGGCGGAATGACAGGCTGAGCGCGGCCCAGTAACGCGCATCCAATTATGCTTCTTGCAACCACAGTAACGAAAATTCCAATTTTCCAACTTCCAGGAGTTGAAACTGCTTGTATCACGTTGTGACCCCCACGGTCGTTTCACTATGGTCCTGACGATACAGGGGGAGCCGCGCACTTCGTGCGCGGCGGGTCATACAACGTATGACAAAAAACTGCTGGTTGTATTAGACCAACTTCCTTATATTATTATATGGTCATATCACGTGATCGAGACAGTTTTTCGCCGATATTCAATTTCGCTAGGGGAGAATTTTAACCCTAAACAGCTCAGATATTCGTTTTACTTTTTTTAGCAAGGTAAAATTGGACTTGGAGTCTGGGTCAGTGATTAAGGATTTCACTTGTAGCGCGATGATTTACTGGGCCGCGCCGCGCATCCAATAATGCTTCATTAGATCGTCGAGATGCAGTACTTTTAGATATGATTACCGGTCAATTAAACCATTAACTAAACTATTTTTCTGCAAAACTTAATGAAAGTAAATTGAACATTCAAACTTGTACATGGTACATTAATATAATGATGATATCTTATTCTTAATCTACCTTTCAACCAAAAAAAAACTTTATAAATAGAAATTAAATGTATCTGTTCTATACTACAACTTAATTATTTTTCAATCAAGAATTTAATTAGTAAATGCGTTTAATCAGATGTCAAATCTAATTTGCAAACAGATGTTGGAGAATATTCATATTCCAAATGTTGAGGTATTTGTACCATTTCCATAAATATTCTTAAATTCACGCTAATAGCATATTGCAATACCGTATAAATATATTTAATCTTTAAAAAGTATACAGAAATTGTCAGTCAAAATAAAAATTCAATGTTTAAGTTATGGCTGAATCATAATTTACAAGTTTTTTTCTGCTTCCAACAGATTGTGTTGACATATGAATCTAGCGACTCGGTATAAAGAAGTCGCTCTCAAACAAATGAGAATAGTTTCTGGCAAAAGGTAAAATCTTTAACTTAATTTCACTGCGAACTCTGTCTGACGTGTTGGGTACTATACACATGACAACAGTATAGTTGCCATGGTAACCATGTCTCACAGTTCTGTCTCCTCCCCGTGTCCCTGACTTCCAAAACTGCTACAACTTCTCTCTTCAAAGTAGGATAACCTGCAAGAAACGTTAGAATTAAAGAAGATAAACAGTGCCCATAATAAAAACACAGTAGGAAAACAGTGAAGATAGAAAAATCAGGACATCCTGAACTAACCTATTGTTAGCTAATTCTTCATGTTTGCTCTGATCTGCAGAGTGTTTAGTTTCACGTTCGTGTTGCGCTACAAGCTGAGTGATTTGAGCTTCCAGTTTCTTGAGGGATAATGCATGTTTCTTCTTACTCTTATCGTAGGCACTGAGAGTTAGTAACAGTAAGACTGAGATATTTAATTATAGTACAATTGAAATGCTGATGATAAGGAAGTGTCCTGCATGAACTATTAGAAATATACCTTTTTCTCCACAAACCTGGTCAGGGCCTCGTTAGTTCTCTCAAGGTCGCTGATATAAGTTCCTTGTTGGGTGTGCCTCATTACCTGGTTACCTGGTTACCTGGTTACCTGGTTACCTGGTTACCTGGTTACCTGGTTACCTGGTTACCTGGTTACTAACCTGGTCAGGGCCTCGTTAGTTCTCTTAAGGTCGCTGATATAGGTTCCTTGTTGGGTGTGCCTCATTTCTGCGTTCCTAGACAGTCTCTCTATCGTCTCCGTTAACTCTGCCATCTTCACTTTCAGTTTCTTCTCCCTCTTGAGTGCCTCAGACAACTCCATCTCCAAAGTAAACTCCTCTGGGTTAGGTTCGCCAGTGTTCCTAGCTTTCACTTCTTTAGCTAACCTGTAATAATAGGTGGTAACTAGGTGATAACTAGGAGGTAACTAGGTGGTAACTAGGGGTAACTAGGTGGTAACTAGGTGGTAACTAGGGGTAACTAGGTGGTAACTAGGTGGTAACTAGGGGTAACTAGGTGGTAACTAGGTGGTAACTAGGTGGTAACTAGGAGGTAACTAGGAGGTAACTAGGTGGTAACTAGGTGGTAACTAGGAGGTAACTAGGTGGTAACTAGGTGGTAACTAGGAGGTAACTAGGTGGTAACTAGGGGTAACTAGGAGGTAACTAGGAGGTAACTAGGAGGTAACTAGGATGTAACTAGGAGGTAACTAGGGGTAACTAGGTGGTAACTAGGAGGTAACTAGGGGTAACTAGGTGGTAACTAGGTGGTAACTAGGAGGTAACTAGGAGGTAACCAGGGGTAACTAGGTGGTAACTAGGAGGTAACTAGGAGGTAACTAGGGGTAACTATACTGTTTAGCTAACCTCCTTCTCTTCCTTAGTTCCTCTCTCCACTCTGTCTTGTAGTAGCTCATCTGAGTCTTAAAGCCCTGTTCTTGTAGTTTAGCTGCCTCTAAACGCAGCTCCAATGTTCTCAGCTCTTGTTGTGCGAGGTAAGCCATAGCCTTCATTTCAGCCCTCTCTTCTTTAGCGCAGTTCAGTTCCTGTAGCATCACAGCGTGCTCCAGATCCAGTCTAAGATCTGTCTTGGAGTTAGTTTTAGGAACATCGGAATCTGGATGAAGAATGCTGGTATCTAGGTCTATAATTGTGGCTTTCAGCGCATTTTTGTGTCCTTTAAGCTGCTCCTTATACTCCTTGAAGCGGAGGATCTCACTCTGAGATATCTCAATCTCTGCAGCAGAGCTGTGAGAGCCTACACTGCTAGCCCCGTTACTTTGTTTGCTGGTGTGGGTACTGTTACTCATAGTCTCCCAAACTCCTGACGGGTCCTCTAGTGTTTTCTCTAGTTTCTGGAGAAGAGACTTTGCTCTCATCTCCACCTGACGTCTGTTGTTCATGGCTCGCTTCCTCTCTATCGTCACTTTACCAGTTCCACTAGCTAGTTTAGTGTCAGGGCCTGCTTTGTTGCAGTTCGCTAACAAAACATTCTGTTCTGAGTCTGAGAGGAGGTTGAGAACTTCAGATACTTCCAGTGCCATTTCAGTGTACTTTACAGCCAGACTAAGAGCGCTATTACCGGCGTCATACTGGCCTACAAGCATACTCAGCTTATCTGCATACCCTTTACTCTCTGCTAAAGTTAGCGCCATTACATCTATCTGACTCTTAAGATGTTCTACCTTAGTGTTCTGTCTCTCCAGCTGTAACTCTCTCTCCTTCATCTTCTTGTCTACCTGAGCAGACCCGTGGCTGAATAGGGTCTTTATGACGTCACGCACTGAGTTGCAGTCCTGCAGTGCCTCTGAGAGGGACGAGGCAGTGTCCGTGTCCATAACACCTGCGTCCGCTGCTCGGGACACTTCTGTGTTTATTACTGCTTTGTCAGACAGCTGCTGTTCTAGACTCAGCTCTTCCTCTTCTCTCGTCTCTTTTCTTTCTCCTTTAGACGGGGAACCGCCTCGTTTTCTTAACTCCTGAAGGAAGAGGCGTTAAGACTTTAAGAGGAAGAGGCGTTAAGAGGAAGAGCATGTGTATATTGTGTAATAATATACGGAGGAAGAATCTATATTAACGATAACAGGAGCGTGGGAGGCACTACCAAAAACAATGTATAATGATTAATGTAACTTAGAAACCAGGTAGTAACCTAGTAACCAGGTAGTAACCTAGTAACCAGCTAGTAACCTAATAACCAGTATGTAAACTAGGAGCTCTACAAGCCTGAACATCTTTGTCCACGTCCAGGGAACAAAGCAGATCTACATGTATGATCTCGGCGGACTTGTCTTGGAGCTCACATGTTACTATGATAGCAGATCGTGCCCGTAAAGTTGCCTCTTGGGTTCTGAGCGCTTTTAGATCGAGAAACAAGATCACTATGCTGACCCTCTACAAGTCATTAGTCAGAAGCCATCTCGAGTACTGTTGTCCCCTCTGGAATTCAACTAAGCAAGCTGATATCGCTGAGCTAGAGGGAGTACAACGTACATTTACGTCCAAAATACATGGTGTGCAACATCTGAACTATTGGCAGAGACTGAAGGCCTTAAAATTGATGTCACTTCAACGGAGGAGAGAACGTTACACTATCATTCATATGTGGAAGATCCTACACAAGAAGTGTCCTAATGATGTCAACGTTCAGTTTACAGATACACTCCGTTATGGCCAGAAAGCAGTATACTGCAGTAGTCCCTAGCTTGTCAACGTCCAGTAGCCAAAGGAATCAATCGATCTTTGACAGCTCATTTGTAGTGATGGGGCCTCGATTGTGGAACATCATTCCCGCAAACCTGCACCTTATCGAGGACCCCCTACGTTTCAAGTCATTGTTGACGGAGTTTGTTACATCTATTCCGGACGAACCTCCTGTTACTGGATATTGTTGCCAGAACGGGAATTCGTTATTGAACTGGAGCGCAGAAAAGACAGCAACTTCGCTGCACGGGTGGTCAGCCGTTCTGATGACCCGATAGAGGATCTATGAAGCAACCCCAAGTAACCCAAGTAAGTAAGTATCTGGATGAGAGATGTCAAGAACTGACCTTGTTTTCCTCGCTAAGCTGCTTGATTTGCTCCTCGTAACTTTGTAACTTCCACGCTAGTTCCTCTCTAGTCTCACTCTCTGGGCCCAGTGAAGCGTCGTCAAGCGTCAGGGGCTCCTTCATTACCTTCATTACTCCCTCCAAACTACCTAGAGATAAGATTATAAGAGAAGTTGAAAAATTATTGTGCACAATTATTACTTATCTCTATTTAACATCTCTAACACAATTATAATACTTATCTGTATTTAACATCTCTAACACAATTATAATACTTATCTCTATTTAACATCTCTAACACAATTATAATACTTATCTCTATTTAACATCTCTAACACAATTATAATACTTATCTCTATTTAACATCTCTAACACAATTATAATACTTATCTCTATTTAACATCTCTAACACAATTATAATACTTATCTCTATTTAACATCTCTAACACAATTATAATACGTATCTCTATTTAACATCTCTAACACAATTATAATACTTATCTCTATTTAACATCTCTAACACAATCATAATACTTATCTCTATTTAACATCTCTAACACAATTATAATACTTATCTCTATTTAACATCTCTAACACAATTATAATACTTATCTCTATTTAACATCTCTAACACAATTATAATACTTATCTCTATTTAACATATCTAACACAATTATAATACTTATCTCTATTTAACAGCTCTAACACAATTATAATACTTATCTCTGTTTAACATATCTAACACAATTATAATACTTATCTGTATTTAACATCTCTAACACAATTATAATACTTATCTCTATTTAACATCTCTAACACAATTATAATACTTATCTCTATTTAACATCTCTAACACAATTATAATACTTATCTCTATTTAACATCTCTAACACAATTATAATACTTATCTCTATTTAACATCTCTAACACAATTATAATACTTATCTCTATTTAACATATCTAACACAATTATAATACTTATCTGTATAACCAATGATACAATAACGAATGATATTATAATTTCAATAGAGATGATACACGACTGTTTGTAAACATGCACCTAAACTACCCCCCGCCCCCCCCTAAACTACCCCCGCCCATCCCCCCCCCCCCCTAAACTACCCCCGCCCCCCCCCTAAACTACCCCCAGCCCCCCCCCCCGCCCCCCCCCTAAACTAGCCCTACCTTCACTGATCTGCTCCTCTATATCCTTCCTCTGTCTAAGATAAGCTTCACACTTCTTCCTGTACACATCCTTCAGCTGTCCGGCCTCATTGTGACTTATTTTAGCTGATCTCAGTTCACTCACTGTCTGTTCCAGCTGGATCTCAGAGCGCTCTAGATCTGACTCGGACTTAGTCAGCTGGTTCTAAAAACATGAGGTACATGATTACAAAATAAAGTAATAATACGTGGAACATTGCTATCTAAATAATTTCCAGAGTAACAACTAAAACTAACCAACCCTAACCACCCCCGGCCACCACGTAACACCCCCAACCCCCGGCCACCACGTACCACCCGGCCCCCCCCCGGCCCCCACGTACCACCCGGCCCCCACATACCACCCGGCCCCCACATACCACCCGGCCCCCACATACCACCCGGCCCCCACGTACCACCCCCGGCCCCCACGTACCACCCCCGGCTCCCACGTACGCGTAGCACCCCTAACACGTACCTTGAGACTGTCCAGTATTTTACTACTCTTTCTAGCCTGTTGCACCTCCGTCAGAATGTTTACCATTTCCGCCTCTGTTCGCGCCAGCTCCTGTTGCAGTTTGGAACACTGTCTGCACTTATCTGCTCCATCTTTAAAGAGTATGACTCGTTCTTCATGTCCAGTATACCTGGGTAGAGGGGAGGTTAGTATACCTGGGTAGAGGGGAGGTTAGTATACCTGGGTAGAGGGGAGGTTAGTATACCTGGGTAGAGGGGAGGTTAGTATACCTGGGTAGAGGGGAGGTTAGTATACCTGGGTAGAGGGGAGGTTAGTATACCTGGGTAGAGGGGAGGTTAGTATACCTGGGTAGAAGGGAGGTTAGTATACCTGGGTAGAGGGGAGGTTAGTATACCTGGGTAGAGGGGAGGTTAGTATACCTGGGTAGAGGGGAGGTTAGTATACCTGGGTAGAGGGGAGGTTAGTGTACCTGGGTAGAGGGGAGGTTAGTATACCTGGGTAGAGGGGAGGTTAGTATACCTGGGTAGAGGGGAGGTTAGTATACCTGGGTAGAGGGGAGGTTAGTATACCTGGGTAGAGGGGAGGTTAGTATACCTGGGTAGAGGGGAGGTTAGTATACCTGGGTAGAGGGGAGGTTAGTATACCTGGGTAGAGGGGAGGTTAGTATACCTGGGTAGAGGGGAGGTTAGTATACCTGGGTAGAGGGGAGGTTAGTATACCTGGGTAGAGGGGAGGTTAGTATACCTGGGTAGAGGGGAGGTTAGTATACCTGGGTAGAGGGGAGGTTAGTATACCTGGGTAGAGGGGAGGTTAGTATACCTGGGTAGAGGGGAGGTTAGTATACCTGGGTAGAGGGGAGGTTAGTATACCTGGGTAGAGGGGAGGTTAGTATACCTGGGTAGAGGGGAGGTTAGTATACCTGGGTAGAGGGGAGGTTAGTATACCTGGGTAGAGGGGAGGTTAGTATACCTGGGTAGAGGGGAGGTTAGTATACCTGGGTAGAGGGGAGGTTAGTATACCTGGGTAGAGGGGAGGTTAGTATACCTGGGTAGAGGGGAGGTTAGTATACCTGGGTAGAGGGGAGGTTAGTATACCTGGGTAGAGGGGAGGTTAGTATACCTGGGTAGAGGGGAGGTTAGTATACCTGGGTAGAGGGGAGGTTAGTATACCTGGGTAGAGGGGAGGTTAGTATACCTGGGTAGAGGGGAGGTTAGTATACCTGGGTAGAGGGGAGGTTAGTATACCTGGGTAGAGGGGAGGTTAGTATACCTGGGTAGAGGGGAGGTTAGTATACCTGGGTAGAGGGGAGGTTAGTATACCTGGGTAGAGGGGAGGTTAGTATACCTGGGTAGAGGGGAGGTTAGTATACCTGGGTAGAGGGGAGGTTAGTATACCTGGGTAGAGGGGAGGTTAGTATACCTGGGTAGAGGGGAGGTTAGTATACCTGGGTAGAGGGGAGGTTAGTATACCTGGGTAGAGGGGAGGTTAGTATACCTGGGTAGAGGGGAGGTTAGTATACCTGGGTAGAGGGGAGGTTAGTATACCTGGGTAGAGGGGAGGTTAGTATACCTGGGTAGAGGGGAGGTTAGTATACCTGGGTAGAGGGGAGGTTAGTATACCTGGGTAGAGGGGAGGTTAGTATACCTGGGTAGAGGGGAGGTTAGTATACCTGGGTAGAGGGGAGGTTAGTATACCTGGGTAGAGGGGAGGTTAGTATACCTGGGTAGAGGGGAGGTTAGTATACCTGGGTAGAGGGGAGGTTAGTATACCTGGGTAGAGGGGAGGTTAGTATACCTGGGTAGAGGGGAGGTTAGTATACCTGGGTAGAGGGGAGGTTAGTATACCTGGGTAGAGGGGAGGTTAGTATACCTGGGTAGAGGGGAGGTTAGTATACCTGTGTAGAGGGGAGGTTAGTATACCTGGGTAGAGGGGAGGTTAGTATACCTGGGTAGAGGGGAGGTTAGTATACCTGGGTAGAGGGGAGGTTAGTATACCTGGGTAGAGGGGAGGTTAGTATACCTGGGTAGAGGGGAGGTTAGTATACCTGGGTAGAGGGGAGGTTAGTATACCTGGGTAGAGGGGAGGTTAGTATACCTGGGTGGCTTCAAAGCCTGTCTTGTGATACCATATTATTCACAAATTTGTGACATCTCATAATTCACACAAGGTGACAAATTTATAAAATATATGTTTCGAGCCACATAATTAAGGTGTTATAGAGTTACTAGAGTAATCATATATCGCAAGACATAAGAACGGAGGTCAATTTCATGTGCTCCCTCATAAATATTATCATTTATAGCACAATACACACCTTTTCTTTTTCGTCCTTTTAGCATTTTTGTTGTTGATGTTAATCTGCTCAATATAGCAAGGCATATCTTACATTTCTCTATTGGTTTAACTTAGTTTCAATAATTGTACAAAATAAAACATTTATAGAAAATAAGCAGTTTGAGAGGAAAACATTTCAAAGCGAAATTTATGCAAATATGTAAATTATGACTAAAAAATGATGGAAGGGCTATAAAATGTGTGGTTTTTAAACTATCGTCTGACTATGCGTGAGAAGAATTGCAATGTTTTAAACCAAACCAAACCCTATTGATGAAAATTGACGAATTACAGCGGAAATCAAAGAAACCATGACAAAAACCGCCAATCCAAAAAGAAAAACAGAGGTTCGAGGATAGTTCTAAATAGTTTCCAATTTTAGAGATTCTTCATTGAACTTCGTGAGCAAAAGAACAAATTAGATTTATTATAGAGTTGATAACCAACAGTGCCCCCGACCTATTCTAGCTATCAGTCACCTTCCCTTTTTAAAATATACCTTAGTGCAAGAAATATAGGCGGCAAGAAATTAAGGCGATTCTGACAAAATCGCCTTAATTTCTTGCCGCCTTAATATCTGACCACCGTAATTTCTAACCGCCTTAATTTTTTTTCTTGCGATTTTTTCATAAGAAATTTTCGTGTGATTTTATTATTTTAAATTTACATGTCGATTTCGTTATTTGCTAGAATTCAATGAAATACATATTTAAAATAAATTAACTTGAGTCTAAATACATTAATATATCAATTAATATTCTCGTCTTCTCCTTCTTCATCAGAGTCATATATCTCCAGCAGCTGCAATCCATAACCAAGATGTGCATGCACCATTTAGTTTTTATGTGACCAATGTCCAATATATCGTATTTTTAAACAGATTTCTATGCTTTATAGACTGATAAAAGAATAAAATTGACACTATTTCGACCAAAACTATAACCAAATTTGCGATCAAAAATCGTATTTTTTCCGAAAAAAATATCGCCTTAATTTCTTGCCGCCTTAATTTCTAGCGCCTTATATTCTTGCCGCCTATATTTCTTGCACTAAGGTACTTCCCTGATATATGATTGTTTAACGATGACAAATTGATACGTCCTTTTTGACAGATTTCCAGAAAATATGTGGACTTCAAAGAGCAGTTAAGTGAATAAAAGTACTGATGAACCTACCTACCTACTGTATATAGGTATGTATACCTACTACCTACCTAACTACTGAGGGCACGGAATTAGAAAGTCACTTTAGCGAAACTAGGGACACGAGTCTGCCAATTTCTGTGTCAATGACCCGTGATCACTAATAAAATCAGCCAGGGAGAGGAATCTAATTAAACTGATCGCACAGGTAATGGGTTCATGAATATCCATTCATAAGTAGGTAAAAACTAATACAACTGGTGATATAATTCAATAATTCCGTCACTAAAAGAAATAGAAAACCAGTTCGTCGTGCGGGCAACAAGCATAACATTAAACGTATGAAAATATGAAAATAATTCCACACAGCTGGGTTAATTATTTAGTAAAACCAGGAACTGGTCGGTGGGGAGGGGGGGGCCAATAGCAAGTCAGGAGTCACACTAAATCCAGTGCTGGAAGGAATGGTGCTTATTACTTGCACTGTGAAGGAAATGTTCTAGAGTTAATGTATTAAAGTGGTTGGGAGGTGAGACCTCGTTGTTTTGACACGTGACAGTGATTCTGGGTTTTGATTGGTGACTGCTGAAAGCTGATTGGTATGTCACTTGTCACATGTTACCTCCCCACAAGTGTCACATGTTACCTCCCCACAAGTGTCACATGTTACATCCCCACAAGTGTCACATGTTACCTCCCCACAAGTGTCACATGTTACCTCCCCACAAGTGTCACATGTTACCTCCCCACAAGTGTCACATGTTACCTCCCCACAAGTGTCACATGTTACCTCCCCACAAGTGTCACATGTTACCTCCCCACAAGTGTCACATGTTACCTTCCCACAAGTGTCACATGTTACCTCCCCACAAGTGTCACATGTTACCTCCCCACAAGTGTCACATGTTACCTCCCCACAAGTGTCACATGTTACCTCCCCACAAGTGTCACATGTTACCTCCCCACAAGTGTCACATGTTACCTCCCCACAAGTGTCACATGTTACCTCCCCACAAGTGTCACATGTTACCTCCCCACAAGTGTCACATGTTACCTCCCCACAAGTGTCACATGTTACCTCCCCACAAGTGTCACATGTTACCTCCCCACAAGTGTCACATGTTACCTCCCCACAAGTGTCACATGTTACCTCCCCACAAGTGTCACATGTTACCTCCCCACAAGTGTCACATGTTACCTCCCCACAAGTGTCACATGTTACCTCCCCACAAGTGTCACATGTTACCTCCCCACAAGTGTCACATGTTACCTCCCCACAAGTGTCACATGTTACCTCCCCACAAGTGTCACATGTTACCTCCCCACAAGTGTCACATGTTACCTCCCCACAAGTGTCACATGTTACCTCCCCACAAGTGTCACATCTTACCTCCCCACAAGTGTCACATGTTACCTCCCCACAAGTGTCACATGTTACCTCCCCACAAGTGTCACATGTTACATCCCCACAAGTGTCACATGTTACCTCCCCACAAGTGTCACATGTAACCTCCCCACAAGTGTCACATGTTACCTCCCCACAAGTGTCACATGTTACCTCCCCACAAGTGTCACAAGTTTCCAGATCTACGAAGCCTGACTACTAATAATACTTCTACTACTAGCCTGACTATAAATTACAGCACACTAACTAAGTTGACAGATCTCTGCGAGTTTTCCCGGGGAAGAATCT